GGGGGATGGCTTTAAACTGAAGCAGGGGAGGTTTAGCCTGGATCTAAGGCAGAAATTCTTTGCAGTGAGGGTGGTGAAAGCCTGGCAGGGGTTGTCCAGAGAGGGGGTGGAGGCCCCATCCCTGGGAACATTCCAGGCCAGGTTGGCCGGGGCTGTGAGCAACCTGCTGTGGTTCAAGGTGTCCCTGCTCCTGCAGGGGGGTTGGGCTGGGTGACCTCTGGGGGTCCCTTCCCACCCAAACCATTCTATGATTATAAACATTCAGTGATTTTTCTGAGGCATAACACCTTGAAGTCACGACGCAGAGAAGTGGGGAAACCCCTGCTTTTTCTTGGCTCAGTGAAGTTCCACATTGAGCACTGGCCATTACACTAATTGTTGAGAATTCCATTTTTCCAATGACATTTTCAGAATGTGTTGGCTGCATAGGTGAAACTGGACAGCCAGTAAACCAACAACTCCTGGAGCTGCTGGGAAACCAGCTTCAGACTTCTCCTGCCGGCCTCAAGCTCTGCTACAGCATCAGTCCTTCAGATTCCAACTTTGCCAACGACGAGTTGCAAGGAGGAATGGTTAATTCTGTCTTTAGAGTGCTTTTAAACACGTTTCCCCCCTCTAACAGTCATTTAGAAAATTAAAGGTACTTTAGAAAAATTTAAGACACAAGATGAGCTGCTGAAACAGTAAATGTCAGAAATCAGTTTGCCTTTGCCTTGGTAACGCATACGCACTTGGCAACCAAATTGCGATAGCATAATGAAATGGTTATTATTATATTTTCACCGTCAGCACAGGGGGTGCTGGAAGGTGCTCGGTGTTCGAAGGGGCTTGGTGTCTTGCTTCCCTAAGAGCCTGGAAAAGTAAAGCAAAGGGCTAAATGTTTTTCTGGTGGTCACCAACTGTGCTCCTCCATCCATCCACGTGACACTAAGCGGTGTCCCCCAGGGCTCAGCGCTGGGCCCAGCTCTGTTTAACATCTTTATCAATGACCTGGATGAGGGGTGATCGAGGTACCCCCAGTCTGTTTACAGGTGACACCAAGCTGGGTGGGAGTGTGGACCTGCTAGGGGAGAGGAGGGCTCTGCAGAGGGACCTGGCCAGGCTGGATCCATGGGCCCAGCCCAGTTGGGTGAGGCTCAACAAGGCCAAGGGCCGGGTCCTGCCCTGGGGTCACCACAACCCCACGCAACGTTCCAGGCATGGGGCAGAGGGGCTGGAAAGCTGCCCGGCGGAAAAGGCCCTGGGGGGGTTGGTCGAGAGGGGGCTGAATATGAGCCAGCAGGGTGCCCAGGTGGCCAAGAGGGCCAGCGGCATCCTGGCTTGTATCAGGAGTGGTGTGGCCAGCAGGAGCAGGGCAGGGACCGTGCCCCTGTGCTGGGCACTGGTGGGGCCACCCCTCGACTGCTGGGGTCAGGGTTGGGCCCCTCCCTCCCCGAAGGACCTGGGGGGGCTGGCGCGTGTCCAGAG